CACATTTTTCTCTCAAAAAATTGTTGTACATGTAAAACACTATTTGTAAATAAAAAGTTTAATGGAGAAAGGAGCCCAGCAATGTTATTCCCACCCGCCCCTTTGTTTTAGGCTGCACATCTATGTTCACTCGCATGTTTTACTCCATACTGTTGAACAGACTGTGACTTCTGACTGAATAACAAAAGCTCTTTGGGAAATTCTCCCATTTAGAAAGTGTGAGGTAGAAAGACTTACCTGCATGTTGATGTAGAAAGAGAGATTAGGAGCAGCAGCATAACAATGTGCTTTCTCAGGATGATTTTAAATGTTTAAGAAACCGTTAATGTTATTTATGTTCAAACCCAACTATACAATTGATAAGTTAAATGTCTTACTGGTCCACAATTGCTCCAATACATTTTTTGCTTTAGGTGTATATTTATAACTTAATTTTCTCTCCTACATTGTATTACTAATTATTCAGCATTTTCTACCATCATCATATTTTAATTATCATTGCTGTCCTCCAATACTTCCACAGGTTTTTGTATGTTAGGGATACATTTTCGCTGTTAAATTAGCATTCTTATAAAGAATGATTACTTGGCCAATTACATGAAATCTAAATATGTGGGTAGATCTGAAATAAATGTATTCATTCGCATATAAAAAAATACTGGTATTTAGGAAAAGGTTAGCTTTATTAAGTGCATAACAATTTGCTTCGCGAGACATGTAGGAATTATCTGTTAGTTTGAATATTGTTTTATTATACACAGAATAAATGATAATGAAACAAAATAAAAGTTCAGTATACATTCAGTATAAATATTTAAATAAAAGTCTTTGCAAGCCTTCAGTAAATTGCAACTTATTCAAATGTACAGAAAGTTAAAAAGAAACTTAACACTCAACTATTTACATGCGAGATCTTGAGCCGGGTCTGCGTACACTAATTATGAATAATAGGCACAAGTATTAATTACTGCTTCAAGAGGGCAGGATACTTTAGAACAGTCAGGACTCAAAAGAGTATATTCGTTTGTCCATTAAAATACAACAAACTCTCCAGTATGCTTGCTTATTTGATTGAAGAACATTATCGTGCAATGTCTATAATATTTAGTTTATGGAAAATACTATTAATTACACATTTCAAGTACAAAATACTGATAAGAGGACACCACTGAACTACTCCAGCAAGTTCAGAGGTCCAATTATGACATACATACACTAGAATTGTAATTTAGGTTTAAGTTTAGCAAGTAATACAGAATTTAGCTTAGGTATATTAAAAACATACAAAACAGATTATTCCATATGCCACTTTCCTTTTACTGTTCAGACCAGATGACAATGAGTTGACTGATAATTATGGTAAGCATGTCTATATTCATACATTAAGAAACACATTTGGAAAGTAACAACTACACATTTTCTCATTTACTCATTCATTGCCAAGATAAAATATACTTTGCAGGCACTCTTTCAGAAATGCTTGAGATAAAATGAAACATGCGAAATATTACTCATACATTTCTTCAGCCTTAAAGCATTATGCTCCAGGTTAAGGTGAACATGCTGGAAAGAAACCCCACAAAACGTGCCTTGAATGCATGCCCGATTTATGCAGTTAGCTTACCTTCATTGTATACAGCCAAACAGGTTAGTTTTAACAGGAAGGGGATTTCCAAACCTGTGTTTTTCTTGATTCTTCAGAGAGAATGAAAAAGACAAATGGGTAGCAACATAAATGTTATAAAAATTTTGAAGACATTGCAGAAATGTTTTTCTGTTACTTCAATATTGACAACAGGCCAGTGAAATATGTCATGTTCAACCACATGTTCTTGATATTATGTGAGTAATATGAAGTTAGACATTTTTAAAATACAGCCTGAGTATCAAATTTATATACATACCACTGTTGCATACAATAGTGCAACAGAAAAGTCATTCAGTTTGACTACTGTGTTATTTGTGGATTCACTGCTCGCATTCAATTTAAAAATTTTGTACAAGTATATTTTATGTCTTATCAACTCCAAGGCACAGACTATTAAATCTCTCTGAACAGTCATAATACAAGAACAGCTCCCATGCCATTAAATTTTTGACATAAATTATGCCAATTATGATACAAGACATTTATCATGAACAGCAGGTTGCTCTACGCTGTTTTAAGACTTCCTTTACTGACAAGACAAATTCATCCAGATGAGGCCAAAAAGTGACTTTTTATTTTTTTTTTTAACATTTTGAGTGTTGATCACCAGATCAAATGCCAGAGTTTCAAGTCAATATGACCCCAGCATGATAATAATCCTTTTAGGAATATTCCATTAAGTTTTTCCAAACAAAAGCTGCATGTACATTATTTTGCATTAGTTATTTAAGAAAAACATTAGCCTAGAATTCTTTATGAATATAGTTGCAAGGTCTAGAAATATGAAATAGTGGATGGATAAAGAATATTTAACAATGTAAAATATGAACGTTTCATTCTGTAACATAAAAGTTGAATCTAACTCAACTTGATAGGAAGCAAAAATGCGAATTCTGACAATGGTAAAAATGTTTATTCAACAAAATGTATATTTGTCAAAATTATTTATTGCACTGAGAAAATAACCTTCAATCTCAAATGTGGTAGCATTAGATTATAAGATTCTCAAGTAAAGTAGAGGATGATATTTAAAAGATTTCAATGGTTATAAGTACAAATATTGGCCTAAATAAAGGAAAATTTAACTTTTTCACAGTAAGACCTCATTGAAACAAAATCTGCTGCTTACAAGGAAAACTGAAACACATTCCAAACCATATGCATCATTACAGAGAGATAAAAATATAACTCATAGCAACCTGCTTGTCTGAAGAAAATTAAATTTTAAATTAAAAAAATAAAATAAAATAAAAAACACCCTACAAAAATTATTATCCATTTTCTACACTAGCTGCCGCTGGATTGGAGATTCCAAGCAGAAGCGATTTTTGGTCCTCATTCAATTTTAAAGCCAAATCTACAGCATCAGAAATCATGTCAAAAGCAACAGTACTAGTAAAACTGTACACCACAGCCATGCAACTGATAATGGTACTACAAATACACAAAACTACAATACAAAAGCAACTGGCTCATTTTCTAAATTTTCTACCTAACAAACCATAAGCAGAAAATTAACTGAAGATAAAATTAAAAAAATAAAAATAAAAAAAAGGTGAACAACAACAATAATAATAATAATTCATAACAAGGAAGGGAAATGGGAGGGAATCAAAAGAATGATGGCACTATGCAATAATCGCATGTTTCAACCAGGAACAGTATGAAGGTAATGTATATGTTGTAAAATAACAATATTGAGTTTTCATTAATAACACTTGCAAAGCACACTGGCCACTGTAAGTCATGAATTTTTAAAAAAGGTAGTGACAATATGTCACACACAGGTTTTTTGTCTTCCTAGAACATCCTGAATAAATACTTCAACCACAATCATGTACGTATACATTAGAAACTTGAAAACTCAAGAATTCCAAAGCTTGCATGCAAACACGTTAATTTTTAAATTTCATGTATTCTTTAATAAGCTTTGATTCTGATCCAGATATCTACATGTACAATATTTCAGGAAACAAACAATTGTAAATGGAAACTTTCTAGGTTAGGATTCGATGTCCCTCTGTTTTCATTGGAAGCCCCAACAGATTGAAAAACGTCAAACATACTGTTTTTAAACACTTGGCTGAAGTTCAACATCAATGCGTATATGCTCATAGATATGACTTTAAGGTCATTAATGATCATGAACATAGATTTTTGACAATTTATACAATGAATTTAAACAATGAGCACAAATGTGTCACTTGGAAGAAATAAAACTAGTCAATGGCTTTCTACCTTATTCTATGAGTTGAGGAGCCTTAAAGTCACATCAAAGGCTGACATAAAAAAAGACGTGAATATAAGCTACTGAAGTCAGTCTCAAATAGAAGTTTCATCACATTACTTCAATTGGAACAAGGATTTACAAATACAGGAAGAAAAAGGGTCACTTCAGGTCATTTGTCCACATTTTTTGCTGCTTGGCCTGAGACAACATACATTCTCTCATACACACATTCCTTTTTTCACACTGACACTCATGTACGGAATATATTTTTCTTGAAGGCACTGTAATAATGGCGACGCACTGTTCTGTAACCGAGGACGTTCTCCATCTTTTCCATTTCTATTGTTCCGACATCCCATACCCTGTGTCACGAGTCCACAGTTCCAGCTGTCCGCCCTTCCGTGGACTTGGTCCGCGCTTAGCACCATTCAAGGACACTGTCGCTGCTTCGTCTCCTGCTTCGCGAGGTTCGACTCCATTCGCTGCGTTTCGCCCTCGCGCTATCTCTTAAAGATTTAGTTTTTGACTTTTACACTTCCGTGCCGTCTTCGCCCTCGTCCTCGTAAAGCGGGCCCGTGGACGCCGCCGCCGAGGGGTCGGCGGGCTTCTTCTTGGGCTTCGGGGGCGGCTTGGGGGGTACCTTGCCGCCGGCGGCGGAGCCCGGCCTGCTGCCGGGGGTGCCGTTCATGGGGGAAAGTGGGGACAGGGGCCCCGTGGAGGCGACAGAGTTGCGCTTGGCGGTCGGCGTCGTCAACGCCGGCGGCGGCAGCGGCGCAAGGTCCTCCGGCAGCACGCGAGGCTCGGGGCTGCGCGCGCCGCTCAGCGCGCTGATGTTGGGGTTGCTCCTCTGCCTGGGCAGCGCGGCGCGGGCCAGGGCGGGCGACGCGCTGCCTCGCGCGCGATTGCGAGCGATAGGCGATTAGTAGGCGGCAGCCCCGACGCTGTGGGCGTTGCGTGGCTGTGGGCCGGCAGCGGGCGGCCGCGCAGTGGTGGCCGCCGCCCGGCCGCGGGCGACTCCCCCCTTGTTTCAGCGACAGCAACGAGCTTGCCGTCGGCGGTGTGCGCGGGCCCAGGTTGTCGCTAGACGGGCTCCAGCTTGGCCTGTGAGCGGGTCGAGGGCTAGGCAAGCGGGCGCGGGCGGCTGCTCCAGCTGGGCACCGCGCGGCCGGCGCGGGATGGTGACGTTAGCCCTGCGGGTAGCACCACGGCTTGCCCGGTGAGCCGCAGGCGAGAAGGAGCGACTTGCGAGCGGAGTAGGCAGCTGCCGGAAGCAGTGCGGGAGCGGCGGCCGTCGGTGTAGAGCGGCTGCGGCACGGGCGACGGCGGGCCTGCGTGCGGCGCAGGCGCGAGCGTGTCCGGGTGGGTGGACGCCGACGCATCGGCCGGCGACACCTGGCTGCCGCGCGACGGGAACGACAGCAGGTCGGGCGGCAGGTTGGCCACGCCCCCGCCGCCGGCCGCGCCCAGAGGGACGCCGGCCACGCCGCCGCCCCCCCTCCCGAGGCACTCGGCGTCGATGGTCTCGCGCGAGCGCGCCTGCACGTTAGCCAGGGACTCGAGAGAGCGATCCTGCAGCGGATCGTCGCACTCCGCTACACTTGGTCCAGCTGCAAAAGAACGGAATAGGCCGTCAGCGCCGCCGTCAGCGCCGCCGCCCGCGCGCTCCCGCGGCGCTCACGCGACCCGCCAACACGCACGCACGCGCGCGTGCGCGTGCACGCACGACACACACACACAGCACGCACAACACACAACACAACAAAACACAACACAGCACATACAACGCGCAAATGGTTGGCCATCTTTCTGGATTGGGATCAGACAAGAGAAGAGACACTTGTTAAGAAACACTTCCAGTGAGGTGAAAGCATTGTGTATCGAGGGGGGAAGTGAGAGGGGAGTGAAACGTAACAGTAAAACAAACAATAACCAAATAACTAAAGAACAAACTAAAACAATCAAACTCAACAGTAACTATAAACAAAATCAAAACTCACTACCATAGCACTAAGTCTCGCTTTATCCCCTGCCCCCTAGAGCCTAAGTCCCTTGGCTATGTATAACGGCTGCAGAGAGAGTGCAACAACAGGCACCACCCACATCAACCAGGCTGCTATTACATGACACTACAGACACAACTACACACACATGCTGGGCACGAGCGCCACTCTAGACAGACAAGAAGTCTGGACAAACTGACAGATTTTTGCAAGTTCATTCCACTGATTTCAGATTGCACTATGCGTTCCCAGATACTTCGTGTAAAGTCAGAGAGAGAATATTATTCTGAATATTTACCTCGGTTGTTATACGACAATCCCAAAATGGTTGCTCTGAATAAAAGAGGAGTGGAATTCTACAGTACGTTGTCAACAAATTAAGTCCAAAAGATAGATTATTTTATTAACTTATTTTTTACAAAGTCATCACTCAGTCTACTACTCCCCAATATTGTACAAAAATGTGTAACTAAGACACATGTATCATATTCCAAAAATGAGATGAAACAAATTAACAATATTCATTGTATATTTCACAGAAAACACACGTCATACTTACTAATGACAGATCCATTGTCTAGCAAGGTGGCTTTCATTTCGAGTTCGTTCGGCGTGCTGGTACTCAACGTCTCGTACCGCCTGGGCGGCTTCTGCACCGGGTTCACCACGGTGATGAGGGACTTCTCCTGCTCGGAGCCGGGCCCCGAGTGGTAGCTCAGGTCCCCGTTCGACGAAACCCCCTCCCCCATGGCCTTCTTGGTGTTGTTGTTGGTCCGCGGGTCTTTGGTTCGACAATAGCAACACACGAGCACCACCACTATCACCAGGAGCACCACCATCCCCACGACCAGGCCGAGGATGAGCAGCCACGCGTCGCTGATGGTGCCGCCCAGCACGCCGGCGACCCCGCGCGACCCGGAGTCCACCACCTCCAGTCTCGTCTTGGCCTCGGCCATGCCGCCGGGGTTCCGCGCCACGCACGCGTACTCGCCTTCGTCGCTGAAGCGCGCCTCCACCACGGTGAGGTTCACCCAGCGCGGCCCCGCCCCCGCCGCCCCCTGCCCGTCGCGCACCACGTACGGGTGGTCGTTCATGCTGCGCCGCGAGTGGTTGCCGATGATGCGCGACTTGTACACCCAGTGCACCGTCGGCTCCGGGTTGCCCTGCACGCGGCAGCTCAGCGTCGCGTCGCCGCCGCCGTCCACCTTGAGCCGGCCGTCCGCCGGGTGCAGCCACACCTCGGGCTTGCACGCCAGACTGTCGCCGGTAAGGTCGGACCACAGGCGGCCCCGCAGCGGCTCGGGGTCCTGGCACGCCGTCGGCTGCGCGTACAAGTTCTGCGCCATGATCCAGTCCCAGAAGGTCTTGAGGTGACAGTCGCAGTTCCACGGGTTGTTGTGCAGCTCCAGGCTCTTGAGGCGGTCCATGCGCCGTAACGTGTCGGGCTTCATGTTGGTGAGGTTGTTGCCGGCCAGGCGCAGCGTCTGCAGGTTGCCCACCTTGACGAAGGCCTCGTGGGCCACGTGCGCGATCTGGCAGTCGTTCATCTCCACCGTCTGCAGGAAGGTGAGGTTGGAGAAGACGCGGTTCATCACCTTCTGGATGGGGTTGCGGTTGAGGATGATGATGCGCAGGCGGCCGTTGTGGCTGAACACGCCCGGGTGCAGTGTCTTGATCTTGTTGCCCGACAGGTCGATCTCGATGAGGATCTCCAGCCCGTTCAGCGCGTCCTTGTGCAGCTCCTCGATGTCGCACTCGCGCATGTACACCTTGTGCAGGTTGACGAGCCCCACCGAACGGAACGCTTCGCCGGGCAGGATGGTGAGGCGGTTGTTGGAAACGTCCAGCCACTGGATCTCGCTGC